AGCATCTCTCTTACAAGGGAAGGCTGAGGGAGCTGGGTCACTTTGGGTTGCAGAAGACTGAGGGGTGACATCATTGATGTTTATAAATGTGTGAAGGGTGAATGTCAGGGGGATGGAGCCAGGCTCTTCTTGGTGACACCCAGTGATAGGACAAGGGGCAGTGGGTGCAAGCTGGCACACAGGAGGTTCTGCTTAAATGAGACAAAACTTTTTCATGGTGAGGGTGGCAGAACACCAGAACAAGCTGCCCAGGGGGGCTGTGGAGTCTCCTTCTCTGGAGACATTCAGAACCCAGCTGGACGTGTTCCTGTGTGACCTGACCTAGGTGCTCCTGCTGCGGCAGGGGGATTGCAGTAGATGATTTTTCAAGGTCCCTGCTAGTCCCTAGCATTCTGTGAAACTCCATCTCTCAGGAGTCTGCCCTCACCGCCAGAAGCAGAGACTTACGGATGCTGGGAGGGGGCGGTATCATGGCTCCTCCAGGGGGTGGCGCTGAGAACGGCGTCGGTGGAATTTTCCCTTGCTGGAATGCAGCCGCTACATTGGGGGGGAAAAAAAAAGAAAAAAAAAGAGAAAGAATCCCAGAAGAAAAAATAGTTACTAAGCAGAGGAAGCTCCTGTGTCAACGTTCCTTCTCATGCCAAGCATTCAGAACATACTTAACGTCATGGTGCACACTCATTTGTTCTTACTCTGGAACAAATCCCTGGTTTACACTGCTTGTCAAGATGGAAGCACCTGATATTCTTGAAGACAGTTATTACAGTAATTACTCCAGCTGAGACTAGAGAGCTCCAGGATGAATTTCACACACCTAGCTGGAAGGTGGATAGTAGAGAAAATATATCACATGATTTGCAGCTGTAACTTTCACCTAGGATCATTAAATTAATCCATGTTATCATGAAATAGGCCAATGACTTAGGCAGGTGACAAAAAGCATGAAAAAGATCTAATAAGAAAGGGAAAAGAAGAAATTCAGAAGACCTGAATTGACCAAGAGGAAGGCAAAAGACGTGAAAGCTGGAAGCAGCTAAAGAAAGAAAGTTGCCATAAGGTTAACCTGGCACTTGTTTTTGTCCCATTCAGAGAGGAAAAAAAGCCATTATTTAGAGAACAGGTGAGAAGAAGAGAACCCCATAAAATGACAGAGGAAACATTTTGCACTTTATTCAAGCCTACAATAGCAAGAGAGGAAAAAAATCAACATCCCTTGAGAGCTGAGGTCAAGCAACGAGAATATGTAAATAACCCACAACACTTCGTACATTTTAATGTCCATTTTCCTACCTTCTGGTTTTCTTATTCACGCTCTTTACATAGAAGTGCTACTACCAACAAAAGCAAAAATAATGTAAGTTTAAGCCCTAGAGGGATGTTTTATTTCTCTTTTTAAATAGAGGAGCTAAAAACTCGCTATCAGATCTGGTCGAACACCTAGAACAAATTTGTTCCACAAGCCTCTTCTCATGAAGGTTTGCTAGCAAAAACGTTGGACTTGAAGAGATTGTCCTTGGAATTTAAGGAAGTTTGTTTAAAAACCAACACCCCAAGAGGGCTCTCGCTCTAAACCCCCGGCCACATGCCCCTACCCCACAGCCTCGTGCTACGCGAGCTCACACGACACTGCTGGCAGTGCTAAAGGTGAGGGGAGCTACAACCCTCAGCCACAGCACAGCAATGCCTGCCTGCAACAAGTCCTCACAGCCTCTTACATGGGGACCCACACTCAGACAAGGTCAAGATTCAAATCCCAAGTGACACTCTTATTCACGAGTCACAGAGCAAAGAACCACCAGGGAGCTGATAAAGAACCAGCAGGGAAAATAGGAAGAAAAGCACTTGGAGGACAGAGAGCAGTAACAGCAAAGCAAACAAAGATCACAAAAGGATTCGCCTTACTTGTTTTATCAATCAGGCTCTGGGCTTGCTCCTCCATCCATTTCTGGTAGTAGTCCTTCACATTCTCTTTGTGCTTTCGGCCACTGCAGTGGGTTTTTCTCACGGAGGGCTGAGGAAAATGACGTAAACTGAGAGTTTATATAACATCACATAAAATCACAGTTTACTGGGAACTTTGGTAAAACTTAAACATATTCTCTCTGGAAGCACAGAACTGCTTGGTTTCTGCATACACTCAGAGGCCAGGTGCTGTGCCGTGCCCTCACGCACAAATGACAAGCATCGAGCCAAGTTTTTGGGCGAGTCTGTGCTGACACCAAGCCAGCTGCCTCCCACCGTGACACCCAGGATTGGTGAGTGCTAGCGAGACTCCAGTCCCTCCTGTTCCTGTCTCCTTTTCAAGCAGGACGTCACAGTGTTTCAAACAACCTGGGTTTAGTCTCTGCAGGGTTTATTTCAAGTGCACGTGATCGCACAGATAAATTAATGCAACAGGTTTATTACTTACCAACAAACTAGTGGGACACCTTGGTATTTTGAGTAGCTTGGGCTTACTCTACTTACTCTTACTTGGACTTTTGAGTTGCTTGGGATGTGGGATTTATTTTACACCCCACTCAACATGAATTAATGCAGATCTAAATGAATCCCTGCAGATGTGGCAAGCAGGCAGCACACCTCACTGCATCAGACAGCCCATTTGTAGCCTACCCAAGTTCTATTTTCACGCTCTCGATCCCAGAGGCAGGTGACAGCTGAAGGCGGGCGCTTACCGAGTCGTGGGTGAGGTACGTGTCGCAGTAGTCACAGTAAAACCTGCGGAGGCAGAAGGCCCGTTAGTGACCAGGGACCCCACTCCGTGCCGCGGGGGCTCCCCGGGGGTCTTTGGGGCCGCTGGGCTGCCCCAGAACCCTTCCCCCTTGCCCCCCCACACTGCCAGAGAGCAGAATTCCCTCCACCAGGGACACGGGGCCAACACTGGACCCCCGAGACCCCCCCCAGACCGAGCCCAGGACCCCCGAACCCCCCCCACAACCCCCCCACAACCGGACCCAGGGACCCCCGAGCTGCCCCCAACAAAACCTGGGGACCCCCTGGGGACCCCCAATTCCCCCCAGCCGGGCCCGGGACCCCCGCGCCCCCCCCCCCCGGTGCTCACTTGGGCATGGCGCTCCCCGCTCCCCGCCACCGGAGCCGCCCGGAAGTGCCCCCCCCCCCCGCACCGCCCCTTCCGCCTCTCACCCCCGGCCGGCTCCGCGCCGAACGGTGGCCGCCGAGGGACAAAAGGAGTCCGCGGGGCGGCCTTCGCCTTCCCCGCAGCTTTAGTGCCTGGCCCGGGGATGGGGGAAATTTGGGATCCCTGGGGGGGTTTGGGGAGCTCCGGGAGGAGCCCTGGGGGCTGCCCGTGCCGGGGCTGGAGGTTCAGGGCACAGAAAAGGGGGCGGCTGCATCCCCCTGCACCCTGCCCTGGGATATTTGTACACATTGATGAGGTTTCCCCTCAGCCTTCTCTTTTCCAGGCTAAGCAGGCCCAGCCCTCCCCGCCTGGCCTCATAAAACAGCCCCCAATCACCTCAGCACCCTCCTCAGGACTCGCTCCATGGCCCTCAATCACAGTCATTAGGGGTGGAGAAGCCCCCCAGGGTCACCTGCTCCAACCACCCCGCCCACCACTGTCCCCACTGAGCCGTGTCCCCAAGCACCAGCCCCAACCTCTCCTGGAGCACCACTTGGCCTGGGGAGCCCACAAAAAGCAGCTCGGTGTTGGGCAGGGAGCAGGGTCGGGCTGCTAATGGCTGCCAGAAGCAGCCTGGGGGCTGCAGGCTGCTTGGGGGCTGCACCAGGAGCCTTGTTTGTGCTTGTTTCAGCGCCACTGGGCAAAGCTCTCCTCATGAAACACAACCATGTGGGTTGTGAGTCCTGTGGGGCACCGTGGGGCTGGGGATGAAGCCAGGCGCTGTCTGGGAATGGGGCAGGAGGCAGCTGGGTGGTTGGTGCTGTGTCCCTGCTGGGCCTGGCACAGGAGCTGCAGTGAAGCTGGGCCGGTTGCTGCACCTGCAGAATGGCGCCACAGGCCCTGCCCTGGCCCAAACAGCAGCAACCTCATGAGCCCGGCATCGTCCAGGCCCAACTGAACCACCACAGCCTCCATTACTAAGTGGGCACCCAACCAGCACCATGCAGCAGTACAGGGGGCGTTTGTTTGCCCTGAGCTCTTCCTGTATGTTTCGCTGCCCAGCCCCCACTGTGCCTTCCAGCCTCATTTACACCCCTCTTCTTCCACAGCACCACAAATCCTTCCACCCGCACACCAAAACACGATTTGGGCACCATGAGGGTGCCGTGCCCCTCACCTGGGGCAGCCCTGCGCCCCCCCAGTGCCTCAGTGGAAACTTCACGTGGAGCTCCTGTAACCCCCAGCTGAGCCGGGGTGTGGCTTGGGACAGGGACACCTCAGGTGAGGCGGTGTGTTTGTTTGTTTGTTTGAGGGAAAACCTTGTTTATTTATAATAATATGCTAAATTTGTACAACACAGCCTTTATTTCCTTAGTTTGCACCCCCCAGCACTGCCAGGGAGGCTTCTCCCATCCTCAACAGCCAGGATTCGCACTGCTGAGGCCCAGCACCGCCCGACCCACAGCGAGAAGCTGAATTGAGGCGAAAAACAACGATTTGAGGAAAATTCCAGGCCGCGAGGCCCCTGCACCCCCCCCCCCACCCGTCGCCATCCCGGCAGCCCTTGCGCCTGGCCACGCCCCAGCGCCTCCAGCCACGTGACCGCCCCTGCATCCACAAACACTCGCGCTCTCCTCCCCGCGCCTCCTCCCATATATGGCAGCGGGCGCGCGGCGGGGGGGCGGGGCGCATGCAAATCCCTCGCCTCCCATTCGCCAGCGCGGTGCGGGGGGGCGGGGCCAACGTCCCGCGGCGCGCCGCTAAACGCCCGCTTTCCCCGCGCCTTAGCCCCTCCCCCGGCTCGGCCGCCGCGCCGTGACGTCACAAGGCGCGCGGGGCGGGGCGGCGCATGCGCAGTGCGCGGCCTGACGCCCGCGCCCCCTCCCCTGCCGCCCGCCCGCCCCCCGCCGTGCCCTCACCTCCCCCCCCCCTCTCCACACACCCTCAGCCCCCCCCCCCATCGCCCCCATGCGGCGCTGAGCGGCGGCGGCGGCGGCCCCGGGAGCGGCCCCGGTAGCCCGGGGGGGGCGACAGCGGCAGCGGCAGCAGCCCCGGGGGGGTGGCGGTGGTCGGTGGAGGAGCCATGGAGGGCATGGACGTGGACCTGGACGCGGAGCTGATGCAGAAGTTCAGCTGCCTGGGCACCACCGACAAGGACGTGCTGATCGGCGAGTTCCAGCGCCTGCTCGGCTTCCAGCTCAGCCCCGCCGGCTGCGCCTTCTTCCTCGACATGACCAACTGGTGAGGCCCGGGGGGGGGAGGCTGAGGGGTTGGGGGGAGGCTGTGGGGTCGGGGGAGGCCGTTGGGAGGCTGTGGGGTTTGGGGGGAGGCTGAGGGGTGGCTGTGGGGTCGGGGGAGGCCTGTGGAGGCCGTGGGGAGGCCTCCGGGCTCGAGGGGAGGCTGAGGGGTCCGGGGAAGCCGTGAGGAGGCCGCCGGGCTCAGGGGGAGGCTGAGGAGAGGCTGCGGGGTCGGGGGAGGCCACAGGGCCTGGAGGGGGACCCGAGGAGGCCTTGGGGGGCTGGGGGAGGCTGAGGGGAGGCTGTGAGGCAGGGGGAGGCCACAGGGCGGCAGGGGGAGGTTGGAGGGGGGCTGGGGGCGGCCGCTGGGCAAGGGGAGGCCGCAAAGGGAGCCGGGGGAGGCCGCCCCGAGCTGCCCGAGGGGCCGTTGGGCCGCGGGGGAGGGGGGGGATTCTGGGGGGGCCGTAGAGGCCTGGAGGAGGCCCGGGGAGGCCACAGGGGGGCCGGGGGAGGCCGCCCCGAGCCCCCTCCGAGGGGGTGTCCTGCCCCACGGAGGGAGGCCGGTGCTTGGTGGAGGCCCTGGGGTGGGGGCAGGCAGGCAGGGAGCCCCCCGGGGGGATTTCTCCAAGCTTGGGGCTCGGTTTTCGGCCTCCCCCCCCCGGTGCTGGTGGCGTTGGCAGCCCCTGGGTCAAAGGGCTGCGGGCTGTTAACCAGTGACCAGCTCCTGGCACCGCTCCTCCATGGGGACGGAGGGCGAGCGGCCTCGGCACGGGCAGGGCCCGGCCCTGGGGGCTGCAGGAGGGGGGAGAGCGGGGCAGAAAGGCTCAGCCTCCGCGGGGAAGTTGCCTGGGTGTTGGGTGAAGGTACAGCGTCTGCTCGTCAGCTGGGCAGCCCCCAAAAACTGTGCTTTTTGGGGGTGTTTTGAGGTTGTAAAAGCTCCTCAGCACTGTCCCGGGTGAAAAGGAGAGGCTGAGGTAGTCAGGGAAGCTGCAAGTCAAGGAAAAAATGTGGGAAAGATGCGATTTAATGGTGGGAAATAGAAAGCAGGGGGGTTAGGGGGGTGCAGGGGGAAGGGATGGGGTGGGATTGCTGCTCCTTGTTGCCACCTGCGACATTAAAAGGTCCTGGCTGTGGTGTGCAGGGCACCGACCCTCACGGTGTGTTCACAGTGTGGGTGCAGGAGGGACGAGTGCCGTGCTCCAGACACAACAAAAGTTACCTGAACTGCCCTTAGGTTTTTTTTAACGATCTTCCATCGAGTCCAGGAGCCTCGGGTTCGAAGCTTGGAATCCGAGTTGAAGGCCTTGATATCAACAGTTGGGGGAGGGAAAACGCTTCCAGGGAATTGTGGAGCTAATCAATAGTCATGAGACAAGTTGGGAACCTCCTTCCTTCCCTCTTCCTGCGGACCTGGAGTGAGCCCTGATGGCAGACGTGCAGCTGCAGAGGGAGCGAGGGAATAGCAAATAATGCCGCGTGCGTTGTGAGCTGAGAAATGCAAAAAAAAAAAAAGAGTCTCTTCAGTGTGCAGGGGTTTGCGTTGGGGAAGTGTTTCACAGCAGAAAATGCTTCCCTGCCTCCTTCGTGTTGTGATAGTAGGAATAAGAGTATCTGTGCTGTAGGTACTGCTTTGCAAGGTGATACTGGAGGGTTTTGGTGTGTGGTTTTTCCCTGTGATGTTCCATGGGAGAGCAGAAACCTCAGCAGAGTCCCGGGAAGGACCTCGGGGTTCCTAGAAAAGTAGCTGTGTGTAACTGTGATGTTCCTGGTGTGTGTTGAAGTTCTCTTCTCCAGGAATATTTAGCTTCTTTCGCAGTATCAGTTTCTTAAATACAATCTTAGAACTATTTTTTATCTTTTAGTTACAGTCAAAAATCCGAAACGATCAAAGGAACTCTCATTTCACAACTTCAGCGCCTGAGCTCTAGGAACACAATAAATTTTTAGTGTTTTTTTTTTCGGTGTTTATAAGCCTGGTTGGATGGGTGGGAGGGTGTGTAAAAGGAAATGTGACAACGTGGGGTAACGCATGCAGCGCTCTGCGAAAATTAGCGCAGGCTGCGGTGTGATTGCTCCCGAAATGGGCTGGGAGCCCGGCGGGGTTTTGCCTTTCAGCAGCCCGGGCACGGCCGGGGGTGCTGCCAGCCCGCTTTGGGTGTTCTTGCCAGGATGCTCGGGTGCTGCTCCTGTCTTCCTGCCCCGTTCTCCAGCTCCCACCTCTTTGGGATACCGGCCTGAGCGCTCTGCCCCTGCTCCCTGGTGTTATCAAAAGCTTTGGCCACGTTTTCCTCTCCTGGCAGCACCTCCCCTCCGTCGTGCTGCGCACCTCCAGGCTGCGACCCGAGGTGGTGGCAGGCAGTGCCGCCGCGCGAGGGCTGATTCCTCGCCCAGGAATTAGGGCCTGGATCTTCCATCAGCAGCCTTGCCCTGCCAAAAATCCCTCTGGGTGAGACCGCCGAGTCGCTTCTCCTGCTGCTAAAGGTTCGGCTCCTCTCCTGGGAGGTGATTCCTCCCTCTCCACGCCAGGATCGATGTCTGGCCGCAGGAAATGGCGAGGGAGCTCGCAGCAGGGCCGAGAGGTGCAGCCCGAGTGCTCCTCAGATACGCTCCTACGGGTTAATTAAGAACTTTTTTCACGAGTGCAGCAGGCGGCTCTTTGATGATAATGATGCAGTCACCAGACCTGGAGCTACTTCCTTGTTCTAGGCCTTTGAGATAGCGCAGCGAGCGAGCCCAGCCGGGGTGTGCTTTGAACGAATGTTTCCAGGGCTGTCATTAGGAATCGTGTGTGATGTATCAGAATGAATTCCCACTTCTGGGGAAGAGATGAATTGTTTGAAAACAGCTTCTTTTTTTCGGGTAACTTGCAAAAGAATCTGTTGGTTGTGAGGAAATGTGAGCTGTGGGTCGGCTTCAGGTCTGTTCACATCTGCAGCTGACCCGGAGCAGCTCGCTGTGCTTTCCAAGCATTTTGCAGGCCGGGGCAGCGCTCAGGAAGCTGCCAGCTGCTTTTATTAGCGACACTGCAGAGGTGCTTCAGGTGGAACATACACATCCTGAGCTTCCGAGGCCGGTCTTTGATCTTCAGGTAAGACAGGTTAAACGCTTGGAGATGTCTTTTTCCCTGTTATTTAAAGGCTTTCCTCGAGTTGGGCCTCCTGTGAATTGCACGGGGGGTTCTGACCTGCTCCAGCTCAGCTTCCTGCTGCCCGGGTCCTTCGTGAGGTGCTGCTGCTGATTCAGGGCACCTCGTCCTCGGTGGTTTTTTGGGGTTATTAAGGGTCCAGAGGTTGAGCTTTTAGCCTAAAACCAGGAGCAAGCTCCAAAAGACGTCAAGGCCCTGAAATATTTCTTCCTCAGGAGCAGAACCGCAGCCGAGTCGCAGGGTGTTCTGCTGCCACGGTGTCTGGGATCAAACCCACCTCCAACAAATGGGTCCCTGTGCTGTGGCTCCCTCCCCTCTGGGTGTTTTGGGGGGTCCCAGGAGGGTTTTTGGTGGGGTGCTGCTGTTCCAGGCACTGGCTGCTGCTGTGCTGGGTGGCTGGGGACATGTCAGAGCTTGTCCAGGCTCCACAGTCTCACCCTGCTGCGTCCCAAACCCCTTTTGGAAAGCCTTTGTGTTCATTTATGTCTTAAATTTCGGGGTTGGTTAGGTCAGCGGGGAACAAATCTTATCTGGGCTCTGCACACGGTGGCTGTGACGTGGCAGCAGGGGGTTGGTGGGACCCGGGCACATTCAGAAAACACTAGAAAGCAAATTTAGAGATGCCCTGACTGGCCGTCAGCTGTGAGGAGCAGTGTAAACGTAAAAAAACAGGGAAACTGTGCACAGAATGGGCCTCTTGTTTGCTTTTGTTGTTACACTCCTGGAAGGCCCCTTGCATGGAAGTCATGGGACTCTTCCCAGCTGATAGGGAAATCGTGCTGGGACAAGGAAGAGGAAACTCGATTCACGGGAAATCGCACCAAATTTCAGGGGGAGAGGTTGCAGGGGGGGACGTGAGCCCCTTGGGGTCTGTGTAGCTGGGTTTGGGGGCAGCTGGTGGTGGTGCTGGGTTTCAGCCCCTGTGTCAGTGCAGGTGGCTCCGAGGGGATCCCACCTCGGAAGATTTATTTAATGCAGGCATATTTCAATAATTTACTTCTTGTGTTTGTTTACGTTCTTTTTTCACTTTTGTGTAGCTGATTTCTGTTCGTCTGGTAGGTGTGATATTGGTATTTAATTGCAATGTGTCAGGTAACGATGGTTTCCATTGCATTTAAAAAGGCAAAAAACAGCGCTTTATTGCTGCGAACCCAAGACTTTTGGATCTATGGTGGGGAAAAAAAAAAGGTGTTTAAGGTCCTTTTTTTGTGAGGCAGTCAGATCTCTTCTGGAGGTTTTCTTTTTTAGCATGCTCAGAAGAATTTGTAGCTCTGACCTGGTTTCTCCAGTACTCCAGAGAATTTTCCGTGAAAATAATTATAGGTTACTTTATCTCTGAAAATACTCCAGGAAGCCGCCGTGGCGTTGCTGTATGGTGGCAGGGTGTTTCTGTAGGATCGAGGGGAGCTGAGGTGAGGTGGGGATCAGCCGCTGGCAGCGACTCTCACATCAGCAACGTGAATTTCTCTGGCATCGTGATGATTTATCTGACACTTAGGTGTGAGTTTTATTGATCATGGAGAGAAGGCAGAATATAGGATCTTAAAATTAAACTGGCCTTGTAAATAGATGGGGTTTGTCCCCAGGGCACCGGGTTTACCGGGACCCCCAGGCAGCAGGCGTCCTGCAGACGATGCCTTTCCCACAACGAGGAGCCCCTCGTGCTCCTGAGCTCCGTTTCCAGACCTTGGAGGTGTTCACAAGACAAAACGCATTCAGGTGTCCTCTGTTAACAGTTTTTTTTGACTGCTTTTCTGTAGAAGATCTCCAATTTTGCATCGGGAAGAACCTGGGCTCAAAGTGCTCCAGCTCGGGCACCAGGGCCGGTAGCGGTGCGTGGCAGCTCGTCACCTCCTCCC